CGCATTTTCGACTTTATAATTTTACAGTAGGCCGCCATTTTGAAATTGGGGTCCAGATTGCGAGTATTTGTTGTTTTCCAATTTCAGCTAAAATCGTTCTTTTTATTTAATGCTGGAAATTTTGCACATTTTTTTTTCACCGCTTAGTTTGTAATGTAAAAAAAATTTTGCGAGCTTTCGCAGAAGCCTATCCTTGTATCAAATTTCCTCAGGAACAAAATCGATAAGTATACCTCATGTCGATGAGAGGCTCATTTTCGGAGATATAAGCGAAAAACTGGAAAAACAGCAATTATTATTTTTTTCTTTTGTTATAAACAATACGACGCTCGACCTCTACAAATACACAAATTTAGGCTTTTATTCTGTGTATTTTTTACTTAATTTTAAGCCAATAAAATTCGACGTAGGTCCAATTTTTGAGAAAAAAAACTAATTCGCCCGGACTATTAAATACGCAGTTTGAATAAGTATTAAATAAAATTAAACCACTGAAACTGCCACTATCCTCATCCTTGAAGCAATTCTCAAAGAAGTCCAACACGTTTTTATTAGGTAATAGTTATATTATTTTCAGATGTTGTGAAATCAGAAATGACGACGGTGCTTGGTTTACCATTGTCACTATCAAATTTCAGTATTATTTTCACAATATTTTCCTTATTCAAAAGTGAGCCTTCCGCCACAGTGCTCGATCTCCATCCTCCGTGTCTTTTAAGACAAGTGAGTAGCAGACTTTCGTCGTAATGCGTGTCCTCTGTACTCTTTCCAGTTGTCCAGCTTCAAAAATTTTGCCACTTTTTGCGAAACGACATTGATTTTATGAATACCGTCCACCATTCGATCAGGCCAGGCTTCACGAGGGGGGCTACGGAGGCTACACGAGATCGGAGACCTCGGCAAGATCTGGCAAAATAAAACCAAAAAGTAGGTTTTTTTAGAATAGAAGTCGCTGATTGCATGATTTTTTTTCAAGTACGTGTTTTTTTAGAAAAAGAGTTTGTAACCCCCGGCCTCACGATAGGTTAATCCGGCCTTGCATTCGATGACACTTTCCATTAACACATCTGAGAAATAATCGACGTTCTACCGATCCGGATGGACGTAAAGCAACATATTTTCGATAAAAACTTAAATAATTATTTCCCATCACAGTAAAAGAACGTGGTCTCTTGGTTTTGGTATTGGGAATTTTTACTATTAAGGTGGATTTCATATCTTCAACAATATCAATTGTTAAATTGACTAACGCATCAGAAAGGCATGCGCTTGCAACCCCCAATATTAGAACATATAAAGAAGCTTTTTAAAAATTATGTTCTTTTAATTTTAAAGCGTTTACCTTCATCATCAAATATAAGTTATCAGGTGCACTATCCAAAAGGCAATCAACTTCCTCCTTTGTAAATACTCGCGATTTTTTCGGTACATATCCGTCATTTTCTCTCTTGAAAAAAGCACGTAACTATGAATATTTGCTTATATCAATCCCCTTCTTTATATCCAACGTTGACCGCTACATTGAATATTGCAACCAAAATGTTGACGGCTTCATTTTATTTGCTAAGTTGGAGAAATACACCATCAATACATCTTCTGAATACAACTTAATGTTTTTTCTTTGCACCAATCCATAAAACGTTGGTAAATTCATAAATATTACGAGATTTCTTTAGGAGATGCAAGGAAACCTATTTAGCATACTCCAGTATCTCCTCAGGTAGGCACACCTAAATCTTTATTAGATTCCATTTTTACAGAGTATTCAGCAAATTGAACCACAAACAATCACAAATGAACTCAATTAGCAATATGACGACTAATGTTTAACAAACTATCCGTGACTTACATGGGTATATCCTACTTACGTACTTTTCTTTATTATCCAAATTTGGTTTGAAAAGTTTCAAAGCACAAATTAGTAACTTAATGGGGGATTTCGGTTGGAGAAAAAATAGCATGTTTTATTTGGATTAAAAGTGCCTTTTTTGTCTCGGCTATGCTAAGCTTCACCCTGCAAATACAAAATTTGCTAGGCACAAAACTAACTTTTAATCCTAATATTATAACAATATACTATTATTATTTTCCACATATTATAGAAAGAAGACACTCGCATTGGTTAAACTTTACCTGGTAATAGAACTCCTCAGAATAAGAAAAACAGTTGAAATAAACAGTGGCGTAGATAGGATTTTTTCTGGGGGGGGTCCAATTATTTTGCTACTTGAATTCATAGAAGAAATACGCACATATTAACATAAACGTTAGTTTTGAAAAGGTGTGTGGTCTAAAAAAATCGCAACAAATAGGAAACATTTTATTATCAGAAAAAAAAATTATTTGATGAATAATCTTGAATACAGTAATAACAACTTACAACATTTGCCTTGACATTTACTGTCGACTGTTGAGTACAACTCGGCAATTAAAGAAAAAATTGTAACATTCGTCGTATTGTAATAGGTTCATAACAGCTTCAGGTAAAGTTATAGCTGTTTTACATTGACGAAGTTCTTCATTAATTAATTCACGAATTTAGTTGTAAACAGTGTGATTTTAGACTGCTACAGACTTTGTCAAGTTTTTTGACGCATGAATCAGTTCTACCAACAAATCAAAGAAGCAAATAGATTTCAAAAATGTCACATTTCCACTCATAATTGTAGTGATACAACAGCGCGGTACCGTTTTGACACATACTATATAAATATTAGTTTTTGTAAGTTACAAATCAGTAAAAACAATGCAAAACTAGTACGACGCCACACAATTATTTACATATTCCAATAACGTAACCTCGTTACTGACGTTACCTAACCGTTACTCGTACTTCTGAACTACACGAAGAAATTAACGAAAATTAGAACATGTTCTAATAGCTGTTTTACATTGACAATTTATTAATCAATTAATTCATGAAGTCGCTTCATCAAGAAATTGGACAAGTGTAATGCACCAAATCTGCCGTCAAGTAACTTCATGAATTTATTCATCAAGTTCTCGACGAATTAGAGCATGTTCTAATTTTCGTCAATTTCTTCGTGAAGTTCGGAAGTACCAACCCAGATTTCCAGACTCAGATCAGTAATGAGGTTATGTTATTGGAATATGTAAATAATTGTGTGGCGTCGTACTAGTTTTGCATTGTTTTTACTGATTTGTTACTTACAAACACTAATATTTCTATAATATGTGTCAAAACGGTACCGCTGTTGTATCACTACAATTATGAGTGGAAAGGTGACATTTTTGAAATTTATTTGTTTCTTTCATTCATTGGTACAACTGATTCATTCGTCAAAAAACTTGACAAAGCCTATAGCAGTGTAAAACCACACTGTTACCAATAAATTCGTGATTAATTCATGAAGAACTTCATCAATTTATTCATCAATAAATTGTCAATGTAAAACAGCTATAATTCGTCAAGAACTTGATGAATACACTCATGTAGTTATTTGACAGCAGATTTGGTGCATTACACTTGTCTAATTGATGCAACACCCCCACTTTTTGGCTTCAATTCCCTTTCAAAATGCTTTGTATATGTATGTGGATAAAATGTAGTGCTGTATATTTAACCGCAACAAATTGTCATAGTTGAAATAGTACCTAGAGTCCGAATCTGACCCTTCTGTACTATTTACATAGATACTATAAAAACAACTTCAAATTAATTTATTTTTACAAGTAGAGTATAGTAGGATCATATTCGATGCAAAGTAATAAATCATTGCCTGTCAAGGGATCTAGTGCCATACGCTTCTAAGGGTTTTAGAAATTGAATAATTTCTTTATAATATTATGAAGGGACGAAAGGATCAGTTCACATCTGGCACCCTTGTTCCTACAAAAATTCCTTTATTCTTATAAACTATTTATTTTAAATGTAATTTATTATAAATCCAATTTGTTTTTTAATTTCCACATATACACTACATTTTATCTCTATACGCGCCACTGTTGTTTACTTGTTTTTTAGAGACGCTCTCTGTTTTACGATCAGCTCGCCAGGTTAGTATTTGACGTATAACCGACCACTTCGTACACTCGATGCACCTGGGCGACTACAGCTACTACCAGAACACAGTGCGTGCAGCGATATTTCAGATTTAACATTCAATTTCATTTTAAATTTGAAATGGTTCATCTTACGCCTCCTAAAAATGATGACACGATTTTCCTTTGATAAAAGACCGACAACTTTTTTTTTTGCAACTTTGCATCGAATACCATCCTACTATAGAAGTATTTATGAACAAACAACACATGTTTGGTAAAATAGATACACTTTGCTTAAAACTTACAAAAAGCGACATAATTAAATATCTCGAAAACGGTTCATTTTAGGAATAGGGAAACTTCATAAAAGTCCACCTAAAATAACACGTAGAATTCAAAATTGCAATAATATATAGGGTTTTCCATTTAAAATAAGCAAGTTGATGGCGACTTCCCATATAACCGGAAGTGGTACGTGGACGCCATTATTTTAGTTGAGAAAGGCATGCCCGAAAACCACAAATCCCAAATTTTCAAAATTCAAATCAAAGTAGTCTCTGAGATAATTCTAATGGGCCGTCACCGTGAGACACCCTGTATATTATATATATCTAATAAATAAACAAAGATTATTGTAAATATTGTTGAATAAACTTTTATAAATTAAAACTTGATTAAATTAGGATTAAAAGTGAATACTTTTGTTGCTAACATACCATTTTTTTTGGTCTCAATAAGGAAAATGTCAATTTTAGAGACTTCCGACAGTCAAAAAATGTCATAGTTTTGTTAACGGTTGGAGAAAAACATATTTATAGAGTCAGAAATTTGTTTTGTTAATAGTAGGAAATATTATGCATTGTATGTTTAAAAAATATAGAGTAATTATATTTATACGAAATTATTTTTTTTGCAAATACCACTCGTACGTTTCATGGCATACAATTAATACATCGATTTAATTAAAAAATTCTTTAATTTCAATTAACCTGCAAAATATATTCACAAAAGTTATAATAAATATTTTAAAAATACATAAAAGTAAAACTACATTCTAAAATAAAATACGGCGCTATAATGCATCATTTATGAATAGGAGTATCTTGCAACAGAAGACACTGGCTTTGTATTCTTCTAGACAAATTTCTTGTTAAGTTTGTACTCCTAGGCGACTCGTTTAAGTCGTTCCTTTCAAATTTAGGTGTTGCTAGAACTGAAATTTCGCAACGTATAGAGTTATACATATCTAGCGCCTTCTTAATCCTGGGGCTCTCAATATTGTACTGCTGAGTTTTAGTCACTAAGTTTTTAGTTAAAGTTGACTTCCTTAAATCCTTACTTAAGACGGCAGGTGAAACAACAAATTTGGCACTCTGTGTTTGTCGTGGACTTTTGTTGAATAATCTCATAGATCTTCGATTATGTACAGGAGTGTTTTCTTTGTTCGTGTCTGAGGAATCAGATTTTAATCCATCAAGTATGCGAGTTATTGCATTTTGATTTTTTTCTTGTAATGCAACAATAGTTGCATATTGTGTTCTATCAGTCTCTAATATTTCTGCTATTTTAGAAATGTTTGCATCGTGAGTAGTTTTATATTCATCAAATGTGGTGCGATATTCAGTTAACATATTTTCCAAGTCATTTATAATGTTTTGACGAGTATTTAATTTATTATTTTTCTCTTTCCTACTACTATTTATTATTGTTTCTTCTAATAAATTACAGACTGACGAAATAGGAGATTTGTCGCACTCATTTACTTTTCCTGAATCATCTGCACGATATACTTTTTCTAGTTGCAGAAACTCTGATTCGTTGGGAGACAGTGAATCTGTAGTTACTACTATTCTAGGAATGTTTTGTTTATTTAATACCGATTGTTCAATAAACGGGAAGCTTTTTACATTTTCATTAAATTTTATCACTGGCTTGACTGGTGTTTTAAAAGGGTAACCTTGCAAAAAACCCTTTTTTTTAATCAGTTCCTCTTCCACTTCTTCCATATCCAACAAAGGAGATAATTCACCAGGTTTAAACTTATTTTGTTGTTCCTAGAAAATAGATTACAATTTAAAAAATTGAATTAATCTTCTATAATAGTACAATAGCAAAGGTCTAAAATTTAAACGATACTAACATAACTAATGATACAAACTCATTTAAATTCATGTCATACAGGGTGTCATCTAACGAATGTTACTACTTCAAGGGTATAATCTAGAACCCAAATGGTGTTGATCTAAGCAAACTTGCTTAAACAAAAAATGTCTTAGTTTTTTGAAAATATTTAAAAATCACCCCTATTTAGGGGTTGAAAAGACGCCCAAAATGAAGAATTTAATACAAATATAAAAACTATTAACATGTGAATTTTTCTATCGAATTATTCTTGATACAAAGAAAGATTTATTCTCATGACTGAAATAACTAAAAATTTCAAAAATAATATATTAAGATAATTCACATGCTAATAGTTTTTATATCAATTGGTAATATTCAAATTCCTCATTTTTGGCATTTTTCCAACTCAAGGGGTGATTTTTATAATTTTCAAAATACTAAAAGCTAAGCTCATTTCAGTTTTTTATGACAAGTAATTTGCGACCAAAAACATATTTTTATGTATGTTTTTAATTCTCTGCGAATTGTGAAGAAACGGGCAAAAATCACAGCTTTTTTGCGGTCACTCTTTCTTTTTTTATTTCTTGTTTTATCCTTAACTCAGAATCCAGTTAACCAATTTGGACAAAATTTGCTGTTACTTAGTTTCTCGTCATGAAGTATACAGTGATTATGTTCCTATTAGGTTAAATCATACAGGGTGTTCATTTTACTACAATCCTTTGTGAATATTCTTCTGTAATTTTTTTGTATGTTAAACTTTTTACACGCAACTATCAGAAATAGGTAGAGAATTTTATTCTACACAAAAAATTTATACCTATCAAAAGTCGAAATTATGTTCGGTTATGAAGATATTACAGAAAATATTTATTAACACATCCCTCATATTTTTTGGAAATAACTATACAGGGTGATTCAGTCATAATGTCATTAATTTTAAGAGCAGATAGAGAAAAATTAGTATAATACGATTGCGTGATTAAAAAAAATTAAATGCATATTTAAGGTGAAAAAAATTTTTTCCAATCATTATTTAACCCCCTTTTCAGGCTGTTACTGACCGGCTAACGTCAGCCGGCTACGATATGAACAAAGCGACCTAGATGCAATGTTGCCATATTTATATATTTTCGCACATATAAAGACAATAAATAAACTGTTTGCTCACGTCAGCCAATAATAATTTAAAAAAAAATTATTTTTTTATAATTATGCAATCAACATATTAAATTGTTATTGTTGCCCAGAAAGAACCTCGAGGAGGTCTGAGCATGACTTGCCAACAATCATTTTTTATTAACATCATAGTGATAATTTTTTAATTTGCTGTAAGCTTTCTACTAAAAATTGAAAGTAACGCGGCCCATTCAGATGTTCAGGTAGAAAATGCGGCCCAATTAAACGATCGCCATATACTCCTGTCCATACATTGACACCCAACCTCCTCTGAAAGCTAAACCAACGAGTAGTGTGCGGGTTTTCATTTGACCAAATGTGACTATTATGGCTGCAAAGAAATTAGCTCTGTTTCACTTTAAATAAAATTTAATATTGAAGTTACAAAACCCCAAAAGTTCAAATAATTTAAATTTCATTTCATAACCATCTCAATTTCATTACAGAAATAATAACATAAAAAACCAACACTCACTAGATAAATTATAAAAAGAGGGTGAAATGTATGTAGTATTTAAATATTGACTGTAAGTAATAGAAGATAAAAATACAATCGGATGGAGACAAATAAACAACTCGGTACGTATTTCCGACCTAGGTTAACCTGAGGTCAATAACCTTCTAATTTGCACGTGTGCACTTTAGTAGGATCGTATTCCATGCAAAGTAGAGCAAAAAGTTGTTGGTCATTTATCAAAGGAAAATCGTGTCATCAATGATAGGGATGATTGTTTTCGAATGTACGGTTATTACAATTTATCATTTTTAATATTATTAACGTTTTCACGTTTTATAATTTATTATGTTAAATAATACACAATTTTAGTATTTCAGTTTATTGTTCAATATGCAGTTGCGTATAACCAAAGTTTACATAATAAATGTAAACTTTAGTGTAAATCTAAACTTTGGTGTAACCTGTAGGCACTTATTGTTTTTGAGAAAGCAATACTTATGTTTTTTACCTGTTTAAAATGCCAGCACGAGTAAAACAGCATTCATCCGTCCAGAGCACTTTGTTAATAAAGTTCTGCTGAACTTAGGAACCAATGGCAAAATTCAAGACGATTGGGGAAATCAGCTGCTTCTAAAGCTTAAACTTTTTGAAAATGTATTATGTTAACTCCTTTGCGAGAAAAATACGGGAGATATGGAGGGTGGTAGATTTGAATAAACGCTTTAAATTGTTAGGTAATGGTTGTGTAACCGTGTGTAGTGTATTTTGTATATTCGGGTATTTAGTGTGCCGACTTTTTTTATTTGATAAAATACAGTGTGCCTACAAATCTCTGCTTTATTTATTTTCTTTTAACGAAAGTTGACTTCAAGAAGTCAGGCTTGTGAAATCATTTTGCACTAAATTATTAAAATTAGTTATAATAAAATGCAGCATGATCCTTTATTTACTTGCATTTTATTGGTTTCATACATATGTATCCGTATACTAAACCGGATTAACGTGACATTACGTTACAAAATTTTCCGAGCATCCGGGCATCTGGCAGGGCCGCCTTCTTAGCGGGAGTTATGGGTTGATTTCCTTCATTTTTAAAAGTCGAATAAAAAATTTTTTTCCGATTTTCTGTCTTTATTAAGTCTTCCGAATACGTGATTAAAATTAATAACATTATGACTGAATCACCCTGTATATCCATAACGTGACAATTTCGATAATTCACTGTCAAATTTGTATTTTGCAAGTTTATTTCGGAAAATGCCTCGTCACAATGAATTTACGAATTATGAAATGAGAGACATGATAATGGTATACCGTGCTTTCACCGTACAACGCTACATAGAGAATTAGCACAGAAGATTTATCTTCTGTGGAATTAGCTTCGTTCGAGTTCGTAAATTCGGAAGGGTGGGGAGCGCTGGGTGCTGCAACCTGACTGATCTGAGATGTGATCACGTACGCCACAGCGCCGCACGCAGAGATCGAACGAGTTTGACCTACGCACCTCCTATGTAGTGTTTTCCTGTGAAAGCACGGTACCTTTGTACAAGAACATTTTAGTGGACGAGAACATATGAAGAACTTTATCCGAATCGCAGACAGCCTTCTCATACATTGTTTGCTTTTTTAATCACCAGATTAAGAAAAACTGGAAACTTTCGTTCTAATTCAGGAAATGGAAGGTACATTCAAAGAAGGATACAAGGCGAAGAACAAATTCTAGAAAGAGTAGAAGAACACACCAAAATTAGTATTCGGCGTTTGTCATTAGTCACAGGAGTTGGCCGCAAAATTGTTTCAACTATACTACACACGCAGCAGTTATAATGTTTACATTTTCACCCTGTACAAAATTTGCTTGAACCAGACCCCTTTGAGATTAACATTTTGCAAACGATTTCTCCAGTTACATAACAGGGATCACACTTTTCTCGGAGAATTCCCTTTACAGATGAAGCTGTTTTTACCTATGGAGGTGTTTTTAATTGGAAAAACTCTCACGTCTGGAGCAAAGAAAATCCACACAAAAGTCTATCAAATTTTGGAGTCTATCGCTCTACCTGCAAGGTTGGACAGATTATTTGGAATTCCTTCGGCAAGAACTTACTGGGGCTCTCAAAGAAATACCCATTAATACTAGACGACAAATATGGTTCATGCATTATTTACAACTCTGTAACAAGGATAGAATAAAAGGCGCCATACGACAAGTTAGACGAACATATAATTCATTTCCTATTCTCAATAGTTTCATAAAATGTTTAAAGAAAATGTGTCGAAGAGAATGGGGGACACGTAGAACATTTATTATAAATTAGTAGACTTTTTATTACTACCACCTTTTAGTTTATTGTTATTAGTTATGTTACTTATTATGTTTATTATGGATACGTATTTGTTTCTAAAAAATATAAAATATGTGTTAATAAATATTTTCTGTATTATCTGCATAACCAAGCTGAATTACGACTTTTGACCTTGTTTTTCAGAATTAAAAGCTTGTTCAAATTTTACATTGGTAAGTCGTGTTTTTTTTTTTTTTAGAGGTCTTCATAGAGCTTGCAATCCTGGGCCCACCCCAAGCAAAAATTTAACTACGCCTATGGGTATACATTTTTTTGTGTAGAATAAAATTCGCTACCTATTTCTGACAGTTGCATTGTAACAAACCTTTATTAATTTAGCCATCAAATGTCCAATGAACGATTGTCTTTTCCTATATTGATAATGTATGAATTGAATTTTGTATTTATTGTAAGTCTGAGTACTAATATGTATGTAAAAAATGTAGAAATTGTGAAACAAAACTTTTCATACGCATTTTCGTACGCATCTTTACCTGAATCTGACGCGCAATATCTCCAATGTCCGAGGTCTGTAGGTTCGCAGTGTGTACAACTGCACTCGATTATTAGCGCTGTTGCCACATCTACATAGTGTTTACGTGTTCATTAAATATAATTTAAAACTACTTAAATATGATATTTTTATGTTGTTAATTTTCAATATGTATGTTATGTGCATATTGAGTAGATTTCTTTGCTATATAGATAATGTTTATCGCAAATAATTTCAATAGAATTTAATTTTTTCAAGTTGGTAGCGGGTTTTAGTCCCATAAGAAAAGCATAGGACCCCCCCTGCGATCCTCACTTCCCTAGGAAATACCTCCTTAAACCTGCTGTCAACTGGCTTTTACAGATCTCTGAATTATCAGATTATCAGCAAGTTTTAAGTATATTTGAACATTCAACATTTCATTAAAAAAGCATACAAGGTGTAACTAAAACATCCCGTCCAAATTTTAATGGCGCATTCTATTCCAAAGTAAAAGTTTTGAGTTGCAGAGTAATTACTTATTTTAAATTATTGTGCTTGCCTACATGTTTTTTTTTTAGTTGTAATGTAGAATTTGTCATTTAAATTTGGCCAATTATTTTGGTCAATACTTTATCAAATACCTTTTGGGATGTAATGCTCCTTCTTGATAATGTCCGTCGAGAACTTATAGAAAATTGAGATATTTGGGATCCTGCAGAAGGTAAATTAAACATTTTTCTTCTTACAGAATTATTGTTCACTTTTTGAACTTTATTTTTTCTATCTACAGGTTCTAAAACAAAGAAAAATATGGCTATACTTTTGAAAAAAAAGTTAAAATTTTGTATACAAATAGTACAGTCATTGAAGCTTTTCACTTCCGAATTCTTTGAAACTGAAACAATCAACTTGAAATTTGGCAGATAGTTAGAGAAAAGGTCAATGAACATTAGTGACAGCGCCGATTGACGCTTCCACCCTGTTAGGGGTTAACACCCCTTCTCGAGGGTGGAAATTTTTTTAAAAAATAACGCTGGAAATCAAATTTTGAGCAAAAAAATATTTGAAGAATTTTTTCGAGAAATCAATAGTTTTTTAGTTATTAACGATTGAAAACTTGGAATTTTGAGTGAAAAAAAAACACTTTTTCAAAGTAATATTCGTGAATAACTCAAAAACTATCCATTTTATAAAAAAAGTGTAATGAACAAAAATGTAGCTTATAAATAAACAAAGAAAATGGTTTTTTAAAAAGTGTTGTACGTCCTATGCAAAGCGAAATATGGTTAGTGGAAGGGGACTTGTTTTGGGGGGAATACTCGTATCAATGTATTTAACGTCAAATAACAGAAAAAGGATTAATTTTACGTGTATAATGCTCCAGGAGGTTTTTGTAGTACTCAAAAAGACCTTTAAAATGAGCACTTATAAAAGTTAATTAGAGCAAAAATGGAAGGAGTTATCTTCAAAAACAGATGGGTTGCTCATATTTTTTAAGGAAAAATGAGCAGTAAACCTTGTACCATTTCCGTCAGAATTATAATTAATCGTAGACCCTTTACAATTAGTTTTGTTTTAGTGTTTTTCATAGGATCCTGAAGTTAAACCGGTTTAGAATGCGTATTTTTGAATAATGTACAGTAAAAGTTGAAAACGTATTTTATTTTTCATTATTAAAAAAAAAATGCCTTATTTATATAACTCTGAAACTATGAAAGATGCGTAAAAAATGATAGACAACAAAAATGTAGTTTTTTTTTTCAACAAATATTTTCCTTTTTTTAATTTTTATAGCATAAAAAATAAAGGAAAAAACGACCTGTCTCGAGCACTTCGATATTTTCCCTTTAAAAACAAAGGACTTAATAGGTTTTTAATGAAAACGATCTTACAGCTCTTGAAATTATCTTTAAAATGCTTTTTTGTAGGAGCTTCAAAATTAACCGAGTTATGGTAAAACAATGACATTTTTTCGAAGCAAAATAGGCTTTATATTTATAATATTTAAAAATCGATTATAATAAAAATATTTTACATTAATATTGGTAAAAGTGTAGTTTATAAGAGTTGAAAATGGCAAAAGTAAAATATTCTTGCATAAACAATATAAGGGAATTTTTATTTTAAGTTATTGCACAATTATAGCATTCCAAGATTTAAAACGTAATTTTTTATCATTTTTTTAGCACAGGGGTGATTTGTAAGGGTTGAAAAGTGTTATGAGATACAAATTCTTTCATAAGCAATGAGGGAATTTTTATTTTAAATAATTGCACCGTTAAAGCATTCCAAGCTTTTAAAAAGTTATTTTTTTATCATTTTTGTAAATAGAGGGGTGATTTTTAGGAGTTGAAAGGGAAAAATTCTTTTATTAGCTATAATGGAACTTGTAACGAGACGACCCTGCCCCACTCGCCGGCAGTCAGAGCGAGGTCGAAACGAGAGACGAGGGGAACCTCAGTTTCAAATGAAATGGGCACGAGAACGCATCGTCGCGTTAACAAATCAGTTACGAATTAAAGTTTTGTCAAATACATGTAAAAATAAGCTCATTAAATCTATCAGTGAATGTGAAATTCCTCTTAAGAGTCCTGAACCCACATAATATAACCAAATCTAGGTGTTATAAACTTTTATTTTAAATAATTGCACAATTTAATCATTCCCAATCTTTAAAAAGTAATTTGTTATCATTATTTTTTGCATAGGGGAGTTTTAATGGTTAAATACACGATCAAAAATATCAAATATATCATAAAACATGTTCGAGAACATGGAACATTATTTAATTTTTGTGCTTAAACAAGATTTTTATCAACAAAATGCTTAAAACTTAATTTTTTCAAATTTTTTCACTTAGGGGTAGTTTTTACCCCTAAAAAACAAAAAGCGTCAATCGGGCTTATGTTACTTTTGAACTTGAGCCTAAGTCGAGCCTTATTCTAAATTTTCATGCAAATTCATGCAGTTTCAAAGAATTCGGATGTTACAGCTGATTTTCAGCTTCAATCACTGTACAAAAAAGAAAACGGCAGATACAAATTCCCGAGTTAAAATTTACAATTTTCATGTACAGGGAGTCCAATAAAAAATGTGACACTTCAAAAATAGCTTCCTCGTGTGAAAATAAACTGATTTAGATCAAGTTAGAACTTGATACAATTTTACTTCCTTAAAAAATTGTTAACCTTCAAAATAAGTTTATTTATTAAATTTTTTAAGGTAACTTCTCACTTTTCAAAATATTTCGCAATGAAAATTGATGTAGAGCTTTTTGAAGCTAGTCAAATAGTCGAGGAAATAAAGCACAAAAAGACCCGAAATCTCCGAAATTTTTTGATCAAGTCATATCAAGATGTTTTTTTTTTGCATTCGCTTTCTAAAATTATGTGGAAAAAATGTATTATGTTTTTCGACCAAATTGCATTTGTGCAATGCAAAATGCATCCGGAAAAATGCATTTTTTAAAGTCACTTAGAAAAAATTCATAGCTCGGTTAATATTGCCTGGAATGGACTCAAATCCGGGTCTTGGGGGTTTTCGAGGTCGCTGATCCCGAATATGACCTTCAAATTGGTCCATCGCCGACCTGGAGCTTAGGATTGATGATGAACGCCATCTCCGAGGCTTCTCCTCAATTTCACTCTTAAATGCAACAAGAGTTGACACCCAGGGGTTTTTCGGGTCGCTGATTCCTAATCTGGCGTCGGCGAGCACCCCCCGGACACTTGGTGCACCGGAACCTGGACATGGACGTCATCTCCGGGAGTTTTCCTGTAAAATTCGCGTAAACGAGCCGAAAATCGCATCAGGGGGTTTTTCGGGGCGCTCTTCTCAAATCTGGCGTCGGCGACCAGTGATGAACAGTGAATTTTCAATATATTTGAGACTGCCATTAATACTGCAATAACTTGTTTGGAATTATTGATCTCATTTAAAGTATGCAATATGAAAATAGAGGGAATAAATAGAATGAATGTCACAATGTATGCAAGTGTTGTTTCAAAAACAAATCAAAATCATTTATTTCCAAATCAATTGCCATTTCTAACCTACTCTTAACTTCAATTTAATTTAACTCAAATATAATCTAACTCTAATCTAATCAAATATTAACTTTAATTTGAAAATTTTCATCATCACGGCTACAGATGATGAAAATGAACAACGTAGTAATACGTCAGTTGATGATGAAGATGAACAATGTAATAATACGTCAGTTGATGATGAAAATAGTATTTAGTAGAATATTTTCAAATTAAAGTTAATAGTTGATTAGATTAGGATAAAATGGAGTTAGATTATATTTGAGTTAAATTAAATTGAAGTTAAGAGTAGGTTAGAAATGGCAATTGATTTGGAAATAAATAATTTTGATTTGTTTTTGAAACAACACTTGCATACATTGTGACATACATTCTATTTATTCCCTCTATTTTCATCATGCATACTATAAATGAGATCAACAATTCCAAACAAGTTATTGCAGTATTAACGGCAGTCTCAAATATATTGAAAATTCACTGTTTATCACTGGTCGCCGACGTCAGATTCGAGAAGAGCGCGCCGAAAAACCCCCTGATGCGATTTTCGGCTCGTTTACGCGAATTTTACAGGAAAACTCCCGGAGATGACGTCCATGTCCAGGTTCCGCTGCACCAGGTATCCGGGGGGTGCCCGCCGACGCCAGATTAGGAATCAGCGACCCAAAAAACCCCTGGGTGTCAACTCTCGTTGCATTTAAGAGTGAAATTCAGGAGAAGCCTCGGAGATGACGTTCATCATCAATCCTAAGCCCCAGGTCGGCGAAAACCCCCAGAACTCTAATTTGAGTCCATTCCAGGAATTATTAACCGAGTTATGAATTTTTTCGAAGTGACTAAAAAATACATTTTTCTAGATGCATTTTGCACTGCACAAATGCAATTTGGCCGAAAAACATAATACAAAGTTGATACATTTTTTTCACATAATTTTAGAAACCGAATGCAAAAAACTCCATCTTGATACGACTTGATCGAAAATTCTCAGAGGTTCAGTGTTTTATTTCCTCGACTAAATATTTCCAAAAAAGTCTTTAAAAAATGGAAGAAAACTGTTTTTCTTTGAAGGCGCATGATTTTTCAAGGAATCAAAATTTGCTGAGGTAACTTGAATTAAATTGGTTTAAGGAAGTTACTCTTAAAGAAACATTCTTTAGTGAACATACTGTATTGCTAGAAATAATATCTTTTTATGTACCTTCCAAGTCAGCAGCTCTTTCCTTTGCTATTGCTGCCATATCGAGTGGTGTAACTGGTAACGTCTTCTTAACCTTCTTCTCGGAGCTTTTCACTTAAAAATATACAGGGTGATTCATTAAAAATGGGAAAGTCGAAAGCTGAAGATACTACACATAAAATGGTGACCATTGGCGCAAACATGCCTTATCCGAAAGTTGATAGTTTCGGAAATACAGGGTGTTGAAAGTTAAAATTTTAAATAGTTTTTTTACGATTATTCTGAAAATATGTAGTTTAGGAACTTGAAAATTTGTGAAACTATATTTTTTTAAGCCACGAATAAGATGCATGTTGCAATTTCAGTGTTGCTCATAGAGGGCGCCACTTGCGATCAATTTTACAGAAAATTTAGTTAATAAATATTTACCCTGTATTTCTAACATGAAACTTGATTCAAAACCTGAAAGAGCAATAATTTTTCCAATAATTATGTACTCTTGTTTCATTTCGGTATCTCGATCCATTTTCGAGAAAAATAGATTTAACGAACACTATGTTTTGATAATACAAGAAATTAAAAGCGAAACAAACTATGTGTTTCTTCATGTTATTACAACAATTAATGATAAAACAAATGAAATACGTAATAATGATTTAAAGTAATTGTTCGAAGAATCCACCATTGACACTAATACACTTTACACGTTTTCTGAGAAATCTTCGAGCTTGAAACAACATATTGGGATTGCGTCTAACTTCATTGGCAGCAATTTGTATTTTTTGCCACAACTCTTCATGCGAACCAATAGATTCTTTGTAAACTATATCTTTCAAGATATTTTCGAGACCAAAAAGAAAAATCAAGAGGATTGAAGTCCGGACTTCTGGGTGACAAGCAAAAATGCTTACATGACCAATTCAGCAATTTGAAAAAACTGCATCTAAATATGCACGCATTGACCGAGAAAAATACGGTGACATCCATCATGCATGAACCACATGTTTCTTCTTAAATAAAGTAGAACTTCTTCAAGCCGTGGAAGCATTTTTGCTTGGCCACCCAGAAGTCCGGACTTCAATCATCTTGATTTTTCTATTTGGTCTCGAATGAAAGATATCGTTTACAAAGAATCTATTGGTTCGTATGAAGAGTTGTGGCAAAGAATACAAATCGCTGCCAACGAAGTCAGACACAATCCAAATAAGTTGTTTCAAACTCGAAGATTTCTCAGAAAACGTTGTGTAAAGTGTATCAGTGTCAACGGTGGATTCTTCGAACAATTACTTTAAATCGTTATTACGTGGTATTTCATTTGTTTTATTATTAATTGTTGTAAAAACATGAAGAAACACTTAGTTTGTTTCGCTTTTAATTTCTCGTATTATCAAAACATAGTGTTCGTTAAATCGATTTTTCTCGAAAACGGATCGAGATACCGAAATGAAACAAGAGTACATAATTAATGGAAAAATGATTGCTCTTTCAGGTTTTGAATCAAGTTTCATGTTAGACATACAGGGTAAAAAGTTATTAACTAAATTTTCGGTAAAATTGGTCGTAAGTGGCGCCCTCTATGAGCAATGCTGAAATTACAACACGCATCTTATTCGTCGCCTAAAAAAATATAGTTTCACAAATTTTCAAGTTCCTAACCTACATATTTTCAGAATAATCGCAAAAAAATGATTTAAAATATTAACTTTCAACACCCTGTATTTCCGAAACTATCAACTTTCGGATAAGGCATGTTTGCGCCAATGGCCACCATTTTACGTGTAGTATCTTCAGCTTTCAACTTTCCCATTGTTAATGAATCACCCTGTATACATATAACAACTAAAATCAGAAAATGAAAATATCACTTACAAATGGGGCACATCCATCTCTGTGGTAAGGGTATTACTTTTCCTGTTTCTGGATCAGTTTCTAAAAATGGAAAAATTGTAAGAATTCTTTCCAACTTAATAAAAAAGATGTCTTACTAAAGAGAGGATACTCCACGGGTCGATCGTGTTCCTTCATGGAGAAGTATGAAATAAAAAAACAACATTTAAAAATTAACCTTACAAGTTTCTTGATTAATAGTTATTTATGGTACTAGTCTGTTACGGTATATACAGGGTGTTTTAGAAAGACCTCCCGTAATTTTTTGTCTTATGAACTATATGTCTATCTCCTCTTGTTTTCGAGATACAAAGCGACAAAATAACATTTTTTAAATAGAATTTTTACGAAAATTTCCAAACGGTGCGAAATATTTTTATGAAATGTGATATTCCGGGGTTTTTAAGGACACCAAATACGCTGGTCTAATTATTTTTTTAATATTTCATAGAGGGCGCTAGTTACGCTACATTCCTATTACATTTTAGGTTCTAACTTTTTTAAGGTTAGGTTTTTTACCATTCAGGCTCCAATTTCTAATGTATAATTTTATTTTCTAAAAATAATGTACGCTTGTTAGAACTTCCTAATGTGGACGGTTTTCGAGAAAAAAGGCTTTTAATTGAACTCTTACAATAATACGGTGAAGAAAGTAAGCTTATGTCAAAACTTATTGATGGATGTCTCATAAACAACGCATACATTCTCAGTAATATTTTAAACTCTAATTAACTTTATATCAAAATTTTAGTGATTGTTAATGACTGTAGTTAGTAATGACTAATTACAGTCACTAAAATTTTGATATAAAGTTAATTAAAGTTTAAAATATTACTGAGAATGTATGCGTTGTTTATGTGACATCCATCAACAAGTTTTGACATAAGCCTACTTTGAGAAAAGTCACTTGTTTTCTACACCGTAATATTGTAAGAGTTGAATTAAAAGTCTTTTTTCTCGAAAATCGTCCACATTAGGAAGTTCTAACAAGAGTACATTATTTTTAGAAAATAAAATTGTACATTAGAAATTGAAGCCCGAAAACCTAATCTCAAAAAAATTACAACTTAAAATGTAAAACGAATGTAGCATAAATAGCGCCCTCTATAAAATATACACAAATTAATTAGACCAGCGTATTTGGCATCCTTAAAAACCCTGGAATACCAAATTTCATAAAAATATTTCGCACCGTTTGGAAATTTTCATAAAAATTCTATTTAAAAAATTTAATTTTGTCGCTCTGTATCTCGAAAACAAGAGGAGATAGACATATAGTTCATAAGACAAAAATTTTTTATTTTTTGTCGTACTATCACCCCCTGAATTTACGGGAAGGCTTTCTGAAACACCCTGTATAAGTCACACTGGGAAATGTTTAGCCCTCGAGACTGTAGGCCGAGAGGGCTAATTTTCACAAGTGACTTATATGATGTAACACACGAGTGCCATACAAAATTTTATCCAACACTTTCAGAGAATTTTATTTTAATAATAAATAAAAGTAACTTAAAATTTCAAGAAGTCAATGTCAAAAAAAGTAATTTAACGAAATGAATGCTATTTACCTGAATTTTCTATTTCAAATTTCGGTGATTTATAATGAAAAATATATTTTTTACGCAGATTTTACATTTTAAATTTATAAAGTTTACGTTTTAGTTTAAAAAATCTAGGAGGCTTTGGAAACGCCTAAAGATGAAAAATTGATAGAATTCATATAAGAATTTTCACACACAAAATAAAAAATCTGGTGTTCGGCTCTATACAGGGTGATTTCACTTTAAATACAGAAACTGCAAGAATAGATTAGCTGCCAGGGGGACCGCCTAGCCGGGTGTCTTGGCTGGTGGATTTCGATCTGCTGAGGTAAGCATCACGGACACAGGCTGAAATTTGGATGGGTGACCTAAGGCAGGCTCGGGGATGTGGCTGTGGCATCCTACCAGACCTGAGTCGCTCAACATTTTCCGCATGCGTGTGGTCTCCGATAAATGGTAATGAGAACAGAGCAAAGAAAATAACTCAAGACCATGCTATCATACATAAACTGTACGAGACTTTGCCACCAAGCCACCCGTGTAGTAAATAGGATGGTTTGAAGAAAAGTACTCGAGTAATGAAGGAGGGTGTACAAGGGGCCTAATAAGGCCTAAGTGCTGCGGTGGAAAAACAATTCCACCACCCTCCGACATACATACATACATACATACATACATACTAGTGATGTAACAAATATCCGCATTCGCATTCGCAAATATTCCTCTAATTTATGATATTCGCATTCGCATTCGCAAATATCTTTGAATATTTTGCGAATATGAATGTGAAAGAAAAATACAGAATGTGAAAACAATATTAGGTAAATTAAACAAAAAAGTTTACACAATTCACAAACTCATCCAAGCCGGTAGCGAAAACAAACCAAAATTCCAATCATACAAAAATACCGTTCTACCAACTTAACAACGCTAATTTCTTTAGCCTCTAGCGCCGTTGTCACCGGAATTATTATGTTCGTCGCGCGCGGCATATTTTGAATCATAGATAAACGGCGCTAGATTTAAAAACTGAATATTCGTATTCGCATTCGCGAATGTCAACAACAGATGTTCGCATTCGCATTCGCGAATGCTTAAAAACTGGCATTCGTTACATCACTAATACATACATTAGCTGCCAAAAAATAAGTAGAGTTTGCTCTATAAACTTTATTTGAGATACCGGGTGTTCAAGTTTCCAAAAAAAAAAAAAAAAAAATTTTCCGTCATATCTTCATATTACACTGAACGATTTGACTGAAATTTACTACAGCATATTCACTCAATAAGACCTTTTATTCAATGTAATATTAACCTCGTGGCATTAACCAGTGGCGTGCTACTATAGGTGCCTCTCCGTTTTCCCGAGAAAAAAATACGCCATTGGCAGTTTTTTCTAGAAATAATGTTATATTCAGGTACTGTTACGTCAAATGAATGAATTTCTTGGTATTTTTTAGCAAGTAGCAGCCGTTTAGAGTAAAATTATAATCTCCTCAGGGAAAATCATGCCATGATTTCTCTATAAATAGCCTAATTAGAAGATGTCAAAAGTATATTGGTGCGGAAGGACTTCGTTTTGAACAATTGTTGTATGATCTACTTGCCAATGTTACTTTATTATTTAGTTTGATATTTTTTCCAGAAATAAATTTTTTTCTACAAAAAACCACCAGTGGCATATTATTTTCTTAGGAAAAGTTGTTGGATGCTTTAGTAGCACGAAAACAAGAAAGTTTGCATTAAATAAACGGATTAATTTATAAGGAAAATTCAATAAAACGTAAAAACAAGCCCAAATATCTCCTAAACGGCTGCTACTATTAAAAACACCAAGAAACATTTTTCATTCATGGCATTATTTTCATTGAAGAGAAATATCTGATAACTACCGGAAACAAAATTTCAGTAATATTATCTTTGGTTTCTCTAAAACGTTTAAAAGGCCACTTACCGTGAAGAACCCTGTATAAAGCACATCTGTGATATACAGAGCGACAAAAGTGACTAGGAAGGTTAAAAAAAGAGCAATTAAAAATTCCATCTCAATAAAGTTATAACCAAAGAAGCTATTAGGTAAATCCATTAAAAAAAAACAAACCAATCCCGCACTTCCTTCTTTTATCGACCTGATCCCGACAAACAGGGAATCCACACGTCGTATAATTTATAAATTATCTATACCTCCCACGTCAAAGACTGATGCCAAAATGAAACAATACGAATTTTAACATCGACGAAAACGAGAGGGAAGATATTCTGAACTGACTTTTACAGGGAAATACTTTCGTTTACTTTATCGGGCAGTTTTATGTGAACAATCTTCAAGCATACAACATGAAACTAAAACATTTGTTCAAATTTTAATAATGAATTCTATTACATGGCAAAAGTTTCAGAGTTACAGAGTAATTAATTATTTTAAATTATTGTGCTTGTTGCTTTTTTTTTAATTTGTGATGTAGAATTTGTCATTTAAATTTAAAATATTTTATTAAATACCTTTTGAGAGTTGACACTCCTTTTTGGCAATACTCGTCCAGTACTCGGTCGAAATATTTGCGATTCTGCAGAAGTCCTGAAAAAGATTTTCCTTCCTCCAGAATTATTATTAATTTTCCGCATTTTATTCCTTCTATCAACAGGTTCTGAAACAAAGAAAATTGTACTACAATTTTTTAAGATAACTTGTCACATTTCAATGAGATTTGATAAAAGGGGAGTTTTTACGGTAACCAAATATCAAATTAGGATTTAATTTTTTTTACCTAAAACACAAGTGAACAATACCTTAAACTTAAAACGCACAATTATACCTTTCTTAAAGGAAATAAAATGCTGTTTGGAAGAAATGTTATCAAAATTTCTACCAACAAAAAAATTTTTAACTATCTTTTTAAGTAAAAAACAACTAACTTATCATCTATCCTAAAAACAACCCAACATCAAATTTCAGTAAAATATCTTTACAAAATGAAATAAAATTTGTTATCTTTTTCTGTACCTTCAAAGTCAGCAGCTACTTCCTTTGCTATAGCTGCCAAATCGAGTGGTGCAATGGTTAACCTTTCACCCATCTTCTCGGAGCTTTTAAGTTTCACAGCTAAAAAATGTAAACAATTAACTATTAAAATAAAAAAAATGTAAAAATTACTTACAACCTGGGAACAGCCGTTTCCTTGGTGAAGATGTTAATTTTTCCATTTCAGTATAACTATAAAAATGGAAAAATTCTGTCTAAATTAATAAAAAAATATGTCTTATCACGGAGACACTTCTCTATTGATCGATTCGTCGGGTTTATATTAAATACATTATTTGAGACACGAAATATAAAAACCACATATTTGAAAATTAACCGTTATAAATTCTTCATCAAAAAATTCAATTTGTTTGACAAAAATGACAGACAAATTGACACATGACGTCATGACGATATCACAGAATAAGCCACATATCAAGAAGAGACAATTCTTGATCTCTGGAAAAAGTGGAAAAAGCAGCTTTGTTCGTAAACCTACACAACGTGTAATGTAGTGTAATGTAGTGGAATTCAGTGTTCCACTAAAATAATAATTGTGCACCACTTTTAGAGAAAACATTTGCCTGTTCATTAATTCAATTTGGGTAAACTTAAACTGGCATAACCTAATTGTAAATCATGGAGAAAATATTTGTGATGAGTGAATTATTTAGTGACTCTGGAAGCGAATCGGAATCAGATGAAATACGACGGAATCGTAAAAAAAGAAAAATTCATGTTTTATTGGAGACCTGTTTCCAAAAAAATAAAAGAAAGTGCATTACAAATTTTATAGAACTTGGTCGAAACTGTGAGGAAGACGAATTTATCAGCCATTTCAGAGTAAAATCAAATATTGCCAAATTTTTAATGATCTATCTAAAATATCTACCAAGATGTGACATTTGTGATAAAAGTTTCATTTTCGCGCCACAAATATGCTACACTACACTTTTACACCACCTTGTTAGCCAGTGTAGTGTCTGCACTATTACACTACACTGGACTTTTCGAACACCTGGATTATACCTGCACTTGGCTACACTGCAATAAACGAACAACGTATTACTACACTAGTGCAGCAGTGGAAGGTTTACGAACAAAGCTAGCAACAACCCGCCCATTGTCCCTGAACTCGCCGATGAGAGGGCTATGGAGTGCGCCAATCCGCGCCATTACTCCTTGGCTAGAAATTGGCTCAATCATTTGGGATCGAGGGGGATTATCCCTCTTTATCCTGCCTCATCTCGTGTAGGCCTGGACAGCCTTCGTAGGTGGGCCCCATCCGTCGTCTACCCCGACCGCAAATGCGGCCGGTGTAGGCGCTTTGTGGGACCTCCTTTTGTCCTGGCTGGGCCCCGCCGGCTAGGGCCCTTTCTTCTGGCGCTCTTCTTGCTTCGCCGGCTCGTCTGTGTAAACCCCGGGGGTAGTGTCATGTTTATGTGTGGTATGGTTGGGTAGGGTAGTGCGGCTATGCAGCCTGGGATGCGCTTTGCTAAGGTGGCCCTTAGGCTAGCGCGGGAGG